TGATACTTACAGGGTTTAATTACCATCTGAAAGCTAATTGGTGGTATTTATGAAATTAGTCAATACTGCAGTATAGTCAATACTTGATAAAATAAGTCAATACCTCTGTTTTAGCAGCGCACACTAAATGGCTAATGATGGAATGAATATGGAAAGTGGTCATTTATGTATAACACTTCTTCAAAAAGCTTATCGTTACTGCTATACTCTTTTTTCACCTATAATGAGATAGGAATGCAAAAGAATGCTTGGTTATGTATATATTATGTTTTTGAGATATAGCTAAAACGAAAATGTTCATAAAAGCCATAAGCAGAATTTATGCTTCATTTTTCTCAAATTCAATCTTTAATTATCACTCATAATATATGTACTTAAAGCATGAGAAAAGAATGTGTTTTTCCCTTCATTCTGACACTCAGAAATACCCTGCACTTTTTTACTCAGACTTGGCTTAGCCATTACTTCCTTTCCCTGCTTGGGAGAATATGGTATAGATGACAAGATGAAAAAATAGTGAAGATGGCAGAGAACTTGTCCGTTCTACTATGATGCCTGTTATGCTCCCTGTACAACATCCTCTCCAGCAGCCCCTGCTCCCTGAAAAGTCCCCTCTCTCTTCCCCATCAAAAACCCCAAACCCATCACATTACACTGTAAGAACAGTAAGAACACCTGGGTAAAAACTGTCCTCTATGCATTGTTCTACGACTAGAGTAGAAAATATTGATGAAATCATGATTTGTGGGGTCAAAAATGTGAAAAACTTCAGCTCAGAACATTTAAAGTCAATGAGTCTTATAACGGAACTCAATCATTTCTATCTTCTAGCCAATTGTTTTCCACACATTGTTTTCTCCAATTGCTCCACAAGGGCAATTCCAAAGCCCACAAAAGTTTAAGCTCTATGCTGTAACTGTATGACTACCTATATTATTGTGACATGCCAAAGAGTTTTGGGGGTTTTTTGTTAGTTTTGTTTTTCACTTTGGCTCTCTCATGAGACAGAAATTTGAAGGTTTTTCTTTTTTTCCCCTCGGAGTTGCGATGCTCCGTGCTCTGTGCCTCAGGCACTTCAGAACGGCCAGCAGAAGCATTTGCAAGTTCTGCCTGCAAAGGGGACGAGCTGACACCGCGGACTCGCGATGAAAACACGGCGCGCTACGGCCCTCCGGGAGCTGCGGCGGCCCCGGGTCCCCGCGCGGCCCCTGGGGCGGCCGC